AGAGCCCATCTCTTTTGAAAGGGTCCAGTTTAAATGTAACCTCTGTGAAAATTTCTTTGATCCTTACAATCAGAATTATTTGTTGCCTTCAGGGTACTGCCAAAGTACTCTGTTTATATCTCTGTTCAAAGAGATTGTATCTATGTTAATGGAAATCATAGTCTGATGATAGCTTTTGTCTCTTTAACAAAGCACCCTCCTCACCCACTTTATTCTAGGAAACTACCACTTCATATGGGGACCTAATAACATGTAGTTTGGGTGGATCCAGGGTTGCTCACCATACTAAATCCTCCTGGCCACCATGACTTGTTCAAGAATGGGCCCGTGTCTCAGGAAGAACCACTGAGAACCCTCCCCATAACTTCTGCTAGAACCACCAGAAGAAGAAGAAGGAAAAAAAAAGGATCTCTTTTTGCTGGATCCGCTAGCAACAGGGATGAGGCCTAGAGCTACAGACAGCCATCTTCGCTGTAACATGAGGAAAGTCTGATAAACCCACTGAAAAGCTGAAAATACTCTAAGTTGAAAATGCATTTAAAAATGTAATACACTTACTTTACCAAACATCACAGCTTGGCCTACCCTGCATGATATTTGCTCGCAACACTTACATTAATCTACAATTGGGCAAAATCATCTAATACAAAGCCTATTTTATAATAAACTTGAGTATCTCATGTAACTTATTGAATACGGAAAGTAAAACACGAAATGGTTATATGGTACTCAAAGTATGGTTTCTATTGACTGTGTATCATTTTTGCACCATCATAAAGTTAAAAAATTCTAAGTCAAAGCATAGTAAGTCAGAGACATACAAGTCGTGATTGTGGTCTGACTTACATTATAATTAATTGTACTCAGGGCCGAATTAACAGCTACAAGAGGACACCTGGCAGATAAGAGAAACAGCAAGAAGGCCTGTGTGGCTGCAGCAAGCAAGTGTGGGGGTGTGTATCGGGGTCGGGGGGCAGTGAGAAAGAAGGAGGGCAGACAGGGGAGGGGTGGTGGGGAGGGTGGGAGAGAGAAGGAGGGCAGACGGGAGGGAGGAGGAGAGAAGGGAGATGAGGGGAAGCGAGAGAGAGACAGAGGGAGCAGGAGAGAGAAAGACAGAGACAGAGACAGACACCCCCAAGATGGCATTGTGAAAGGTCAAGCCACTGCAAAGTCCCAAGCAGAAGAGGGACAGGATCTGACTTAACTTTCTTTTTTGTTTTTTGTTTTATTGAGATGGAGTCTCACTCTGTTGCCCAGGCTGGAGTGCAGTGGCACAATCTCGGCTCACGGCAAGCTCCGCCTCCCGGATTCATGCCGTTCTCCTGCCTCAGCCTCCCAAGTAGCTGGGACTACAGGCGCCCACCACCACACCCGGCTAATTTTTTGTATTTGTAGTAGAGACGGGGTTTCACGGTGTTAGCCAGGATGGTCTCAATCTCCTGACCTTGTGATCTACCTCCGCCTGCCTCAGCCTGCCAAAGTGCTAGGATTACAGGCATGAGCCACCGCGCCCAGCCCTGACTTAACTTTTAAAAGGATCTTTAGGCTTGCTGTGTTGTGAAAACAACTGGCATGGGGGTGGGTGTGGAAGTGGGAGGTGGGCAGGGAGAACAAGACCCGTTAAGAACCTGCTAGGGAGCAGGCGCAGTGGCTCACGCCTGTAATCCCAGCACTTTGGGAGGCACAGGCAAGCGGACTGTGAGGTCAGGAGATACAGACCATTCTGGCTAACACTTGGTGAAACTCCATCTCTACTAAAAACACAAAAAATTAGCCAGGCATGGTGACGGGCGCCTGTAGTCCCAGCTACTCAGGAGGCTGAGGCAGGAGAATGGTGTGAACCCAGAAGGCGGAGCTTGCAGTGAGCCGAGATGATGCCACTGCACTCCTGCCTGGGCGACAGAGCGAGACTTTCTCCCAAAAAAAAAAAAAAGAAAAAAAAAGAAAAAAAGAACCTGCTAGGGTAACCAGGCCAGAAGTGATGAAGGCTCAAAGAAGGTTTTATCCGATTTTTTTTAAACATCCTGATTTTTTTTTTGCTACCAACTACAACTTTGGAAAGACAGATAAATCAACACATGATATTCATACTTGATTTACTGAGTATCTACTATATTTAAGACACTCTAATTATTACCTTATCTAGTTACAGAACTATCTTCTTAAACTTAAACCCATATGCAGTGAACTGGAATTCTCTAAATATCCCATATACATTTTACCCCCAAAACCTAATCCTCCCTTACTCTCTTATCTGTTTATCTCATTGATGTTATTTCCCGTCCTAGTTGTTACTAAAGATAATAAGAGAGGAGGTATATATGAGACAGAGCTTCGCTGTGTCACCCAGGCTGGAGTGCAATGGCACAATGTCAGCTCACTGCCGAGAACTCTGCCTCCCGGTTTCAAGCAATTCTCCTGCCTCAGCCTCCCGAGTAGCTAGGATTACAGGTGTATGCCACCACACCCAGTTAATTTTTGTATTTATTTTAGTAGAGATGGGGTTTCACCATGTTGGCTAGGCTGGTCTCAAACTCCTGACCTCAAGTGATCCGCCCACCTCAACCTCCCCAACTGCTGGGATTACAAACGTGAGCCACCACTCCCGGCCATAACTTTCTATATTACTTAAGTAGTTATATACAACTACACATAATTTCATCTAAAGTTCAAGACAATTCTGAGAGAGAAACACCCTTATTTACCTCTACCATTTTACAGGTAATGAAACTAAGCTTAGAAAAATGAAGTAACTTGCCAAAAGTTATTATGCTGGTAAATAGTGGAGCTGAGACTCAAACGTGGGATTCTAACTCATCCACAGTCACTTAAGTCAGAAACCTGGGAATTATCTTAGACTCTTCTCTCAGCCCCACGCCAGATACCCTCTCTCATTCACTCTCACACCATCACTACCTTAGTTCAGAGCTTCCCCATCTCTAAACTCAGTTACCACAATAGTCCCACAGGTTATGTTGCTGTATCTTGTACAGCCCTCCCCTTCCATCCATTCTCCATGCTATCATCAGATACTCTCTTCAGTTCCAAACACAAGCTTTGTGCTCCAACCCAAGTATATGGTTAGGAACCCTACAGATTATGGGAACAGAACCAAAAGTGTCAAGAGCTTTCTTCATCAGTATGCATGCATTAATTCCAGGACGAGCAACTTACCAAGCAATTTTTGGTAGCATCCCAACTTCAACATTCTCATTAACATTGGCAAGTATGAAAAACCTGGTGATTGCTCAATTTCTCCTTTTGTCTTTCTTCCCAACCCCAAAGGTGTGGACTTTAAGCATTTCAAGGACCTCATCAGATTTAGCCCCACCTTCCTATATTACTCCTTTCTTTTCTTATCCAATCAAAACTTCCATTCCTAAAAGGCCCAAATAGGTCTTGTTTCATAATGAGGTATCAGAAGATACATATTTTAAAAAGAGGATCTCATTAAGTAAGTAGGTCTCTATTCTGGCATTTCATAGACATGGGGGACAGCGATGATGGTAATAATAATGGCTAACATTTATCAAGATCTCGGTAAGCTGTGAGCCAGGTACTGTTTTACTTGCTTTACAAGTACTTAATTATCTGTTCCTTTAATAATCAAAACCACTCCATGAAGTGGGTATAATTATTATTATTATCACAATTTTTGAATAAGGAATTGAAGAGCTGGAGGAGTTAAGTAACATGCCCAAGGTCACCCAATGTAGTAAGCAGTGCCAGCGCTCCTAACCACCTCATACTAACAACTTCACTATAATGGTAGACTCCAATAGAGATATATGAAGGAGATCACTGTGAGCTTATTCATTCATTTTTAAAATATTTCTTGGGAGTTTATTATATTCTGAGAATTATTCCTGCCACTGGGAATTTAATTGTAGATAATTTCACAAGAAAGGCATCAAATAATACATAAGTAAAAAGCAAAATAACACAATTTTTTACTCTGGAAAAAAAAAAAAAGGATAAGGTGATGTAGAGTAATGCGCTACTTTAGACTGGAAGCCAAGGAGAGCCTCCCTAAGGAATAATATTGAAATGAGATCTAAATTATAAAATGAAGCAAACAAAGAAAAAACCTGATGGAACCACATTGAGGCAATTATGATGAATGCAATATACCTCAGTGAGAGTTAGCTTGTTAGTTCCTAAAACAACAGAAAGGACAGGAGGCCACTGTGACTGACGCTAAGGGAGCAAGTGGAGAGTGGTCACAGTTATATCAGAGACTCAGAAGTGTCAGCTATGCTGGCACACAGCCATAGGAAGAAAAAATCTGTATTTTATTCTCAGCAGAATGAGAATCTGAAGGGTTTTAAGTAAGAGAATGAGGTGATCTACGTTTCTGAAAAAGCAATCCCACTCCTCCAACTCTGTGTAAAGAATGAACTACAGGTCAGGCGCAGTGGCTCACACCAGTAATCTCAGCACTTTGGGAGGCCAAGGCAGGTGGGTAACTTGAGATCAGGAGTTTGAGACCAAGCCGGCCAACACAGCGAAACCTCATCTCTACTAAAATTACAAAAATTAACCAGGCATGGTGGCAGGCACCTGTACAGAGCGAAACCTCATCTCTACTAAAAATACAAAAATTAGCCAGGTGTGGTGGTGGGCACCTGCAACACCAGCAACTCAGGAGGCTGAGGCAGGAGAATAGCTTGAACACAAGAGGCCGAGGTTACAGTGGGCCAACATTATGCCACTGTACTCCAGCCTGGGCGACACAGCAAGACTCTGTCTCCAAAAAAAAAAAAAAAAAAGAACAGATTACACAGTGATGAAAGTGGAAGACTGGAGAGGAATTAGGAGGCTGTTACTTCTAGAACCATGCCTGGCACATAGTCAGTAGTCAATGTGTTGAATAAATGAATGCTGCAATAGTCAAGGTAACAGAAGATGAGGGCTAAGACCTGGGTGGTAAAGTGCTACATGTAGAAACCATTCTGCCTCATTCAACATCTGTGAGTGTCACAAACCCAGTAGTCTTTTAAAAACCAGAGCCTCTTTTTCTGGCTGGAAACACGGAGCGTATAGAAGAGAAGAAGGTGGTTCCTGCTGTGCCAGAAACCCTTAAGAAAAAGCAAAAGAATTTCACAGAACTGAAGATCAAGCGCCTAAGAAAGAAGTTCACCCAAAACATGCTTTGAAAGGCAAGGAGGAAGCTTATCTGTGAAAAAGCAAAGCACTATCACAAGGAATATAGGCAGATGTACAGAACTAAAATTCGAATGGCAAGGATGGCAAGAAAAGCTGGCAACTTCTATGTACCTGCAGAACCCAAATTGGCCTTTGTTATCAGGATCAGAGGTATCAGTGGTGTGAGCCCAGAGGTCCGAAAGGTGTTGCAGCTTCTTTGCCTTTGTCAAATCTTCAATGGAACATTTGTGAAGCTCAACAAGGCTTCAGTTAACACGCTGAGGACTGCAGAATCGTATATTACATGGGGGAACCCAAATCTGAAGTCAGTAAAGGAACTAATCTACAAGCGTGGTTATGGCAAAATCAATAAGCAAATTGCTTTGACAGATAACGCTTTGATTGTTCCATCTCTTGGTAAATATGGCATCATCTGCATGGAGGATCTGATTCATGAGATCTATACTATTGGCAAATGCTTCAAAGAAGCCAATAACTTCCTGTGGCCCTTCAAATTATCTTCTCCACGAGGCGGAATGAAGAAAACCTTGAGTATCTACAATATAAGCTGCTCCAAAGTGCTTGAAACATCTGAGCACACTTTCCAAAATAGGTAGTGTTCTGTTGCCCATCATGACAATCTCTCAGTAACTCTGAAATATACTCATTCAAGCAGCCCCCATTTACAAACATCCACCAACCGTACCTCTGCCAGCCCTGCTACAGGAAAAAACACTTAGGACATGCCAAGGATTATGCCAAGTACTTTGCATCTAGTGTCTCATTTGCTCCTTACTACACCCTATGAGTCTAATATCTCCAAATAAATAGCAATCTATAGTAACAAAGGCAATATTCTTTTTTTTTTTTTTTTGAGACGGAGTCTCGCTCTGTAGCCCAGGCTGGAGTGCAGTGGCCGGATCTCAGCTCACTGCAAGCTCCGCCTCCCAGGTTCACGCCATTCTCCGGCCTCAGCCTCCCGAGTAGCTGGGACTACAGGCACCTGCCACCTCGCCCGGCTAGTTTTTTGTATTTCTTAGTAGAGACGGGGTTTCACCGTGTTAGCCAGGATGGTCTCGATCTCCTGACCTCGTGATCCGCCCATCTCGGCCTCCCAAAGTGCTGGGATTACAGGCTTGAGCCACCGCGCCCGGCCAACAAAGGCAATATTCTTATAGGAAACATGTTTTTAGTACCTGGCACCTATGGGAAAACCTCTCTGATGGAAGAATTTAAGAGGAGGGTGGAAGAGAGCAAATTCCATTTCTTCCAGAGTTCCTAAACTATACCAAAGTCAAACTTATGCTACCCAGTTAGTTTTGCTCGATGATCCTCTCTGCACTGACAGGTGAAAGAACACGCAGAACATGCATGGCTTATTATTCTGAAAAGTCCAAAATACTGTGCTTATTCCTATAGCAACTAGGAAGCTAAATAGAGACCCAGTGTTAACTCCACACAGACTTCCTCAGAGAAGCCCTTCCTTTGCAGTTTTATCTTCTTTCTCATACCAAATCTTTAGTTCAGAATCCCTTTCACTTAAAAAAAAACAACAAAAACAAAAAAACATTATCATCTAGTTACATATGCAAGGCACTAAAGAAACAACAACAATAAAGTAAATATGGAAAAATATTTGATTCTAAGAAGTCATAACAGAATTTTCAGCACTTGACTGTAGTACGGGAACTGTCCCCAAATAACTGTTTTAAGATTGCAAAAAATAAAGATCAATTCAATATAATAATAGTTAAACCTTAACACAGCTCTTAATGTATACGGCAGACACTAATCTAGAATAACCCATTTAACCTTCACAACAGCCATTTAAGGGCCACTATTATCCCCATTTTACAGACAGCAAAAAGATACAAAGGCTAAGTAACCTGCCAGTGAAGTAGTAGGGACAGGATTTGCCTTGCGTGTCTGTGTTCTTATACACTACATACTGCTACTCTTCAAATGGGGAAAAAAAAAAGAAAAGAAAATTGACTATCACCCAGAAGGCGGTCATACGATGATGAATTTTGACTTTGCTTTTTATTTCTAATCCTTCGGCATAAAAGAAACACTTCCTTTGCAGTTTCATATTCTTGTACTAAAGCACAGCTTAGGAACATTTTCATTTAAAAAAAGAAAAAAAAATACTCCCAGTATCATCTAGTAGTTATAAGAGATACGGAAGGCATTAAACTACATTATTCCTATAATCCTTACAAGAGAAATTCGGGTTCAGAGAAGAGCTTCTGAAAATGATAAACAGTAAAGTAATAATTCAGAAAAGTTCAAGTTTCATCTTAATCTTTATCTCATTGAGGGACATATTTTAAAAGTAAGAACACTTACAAAGTGAGAGATAATGTAACTTGTACTCAGCATAAGACTGTAGTTTGTAAAAGCAAGGTTTCTTAAAACCTTGTGAGTCTCTTTTTCCTTATGCTACAGTAGATGTTTCAAGAAAGGAAGCTATTGCCTTTGTAAGAAACTGTTATGATCAAAAGAAATTAAAGGAAACTTACCAGAGATAGTTTGTGTTGGAAATAATTTGGAGTGCCAAACTTTAAACCATTTCATAATTTTTAAATTTTGTTTTCGTAGATATTACATTACGAAGAAAAATTTTCCAGAAATATTTTAATCAAAGTCCTATTTAAAGAAACTTTTGATTAGACATTATTAAATTGTGTGTTGTTTTAAAACAATAATAAGAATCTGTCCTGAGCTATTAGAAAGAAATGTATAGCATGTTATTTTAATAGGCCTAAATGAGGAAGGATCAATATTATTTTAATTTTTAAAGGTCTGTTTATGAAATGCAATCATCCTTCATTAAAAATGCAAGCTGTGCTTCAGCAAGAGGTTAGCGTAAATGATTCATAGAGAGATCTCTCTCCAGTATAATCTTCCTCTCCTGGGAGTTTCCTTCGGATGTTTCATCAAACCACCCAAGCTATTATTAAAAATGCTTCCCTGCGATAAAAGGAGGGAATAAACAATATAAACACACTTCCCCATTCTTATTCACCAATGACTCTTCCATTTGAGTGATCCATACCTTTTTCAGTCATAGGTAAAATTGATTTTTTATATTCCACACATTTTTATAGTCATTTCTTTTCACAAGCATTTTAAGTTAATGTTATTTTATAGTATTCAAAACAAGAAATTCAGATTTTTAAGGTAGGTTTTTATTCACTTACCTATTTTGATATTTCAGTGTGAGTGTTGTCTTGCATTGAAATTAAAAGAAGTTTGCCTTCTATTTGATAGATTTTAAAAGATTTTAAAATGTCAACTCATCAAAGTCAAGACACTACAAATTTAAATTCAATTCTCTTCTATTTAAAAATGCTAATGAAAATGGCTGTTTCAATGCAGCAGCATCTGGCTCATTATAACACTCAGTTTTAACTAATAAATCCTTAATTATTAAATTCTGGTGTTCAATTTCTTTCAAATAAATAAGCCAAACACATACTGCTACACTTATAAATACCTGGGATAAATTACTTATACCATGAAAAAGCATACCTCTTGATTCTCTGGCTGCGAAATAAGACCCAAAGTATGTAAGGGACATACATTTGAAAGACCCAGCATTAAAAATTTGGGCTCCACTGTATGTAGGTCCCATATTCAAAGGCTGGCAAATCTTTAACTCTACTGGGTCCTCATGCATAATGCACAGGGCAATTTGTCTGTGCAAATGGGCCAGTTTTTTTCCATGCTTTTTCAGAATAAATATGTCAAAACTGAACATAATCATATACCCCTAATTGTGGCTTTACAAAGCAGACGCTACCTTCACCCAACTTGATGTTTTTATTAAGGAGTTGCTGAATATATTTAATCAAGGTATTATTGCACATCATGATGTCTCGTAAAGGTTGAAATCCCTGAGAGAATATGTTTGATTTTAAGCCCTAATATGTGTTCGGGAGTGTTTCATTTTTCTCTTCCACTCCCAATTCCTTTTTTTTTTTTCTCCTTTTTTAATCAGCAACATCGACAGTACTGAGTGAATATTTTACAATGGAGTTGCGAAGTATGTGTGTTCAATCGTTTCGGCTTCCCAGAAGATTCATTACAGTTACATTAGAAAGTCAAATCAGGCAATTCTGCAGTCTGGTGAAAGCCAGCATATGAAAGAAGGTTAATACAAAAGAATTTCATTTTAGAGGACATTTAGGACTTTAAAAAGCAACATTATGATAAAATTTTCAAGATATTTGTTCTTGCCTTAGCACATGCTTTCCAGGTCTAATTTCAGAGCTGTCTAAATGCTTTTCTAGGAAAGAATGAGGGTGCATGGGAGGAAATTGTTTGATCTACAAGGTCTGCCATCTTAATGATCCTCACGCTAAGAACACTGCAGATGTATGTTTTGCCCTCACTCATGGGGAAAGAATCTATGGTTCTCCAATTATGCTGATGAAGTAGAAGTCAAGTAAAAGTGAAGGTGCGTTCATTTAAAACATAAAGGTTTTGGTGATTGTTAACATCCGTCTTTCTGATTATAAATAAAACTAACTGCTGAGATTTTCAGCTCTTAATATGTATTTATATAACAAAAATCAGTAAGTTAATTGTTTTCCATGATTAGTAGCAGGTATAGAAAAATCTTCTTCAGATTGGTACATGTTTAACTGGCACTTGTGCATAATACAATAATTCCCCTCTCTCTAGAATTCAAGCCTCAATAAACCCCTAACTAATTTTATGTATTTGATTTATTTCCACTGGTTTACAGGTAAGCAAAAATAAGAATAGACTATCTACTGAAAGGCAAGCATCGCCATTCAGTACAGTCAATTTTCAGAATACAAATTCCACTTCAATACAAAGGCTCACCTGTGCATGAGCAATTCCAAAGCTTAAATATCATGGCAAGAGGGAAACAGCAGCTAGCAGTGGTAACAGACATGAAAGGCAGCTGGCTGTCTTCAGTGCTACCTTTGGCAGCAGTACAGATGGACTTTGTAGGCCACTGGCTATGCTTAATTTAATATGAAGCTAAATACAGTCAAAACATCTGGTGTACCACTGATGGTTATCATGATAAATTAAATCTGACATCACACACAAACCCATTCAATATTCTATTTATATCCCTTTTACCTAAACCACAAAACTAAAAATCCACATTTACTTTTGTTTCTCATTTCCTCTTAGCAGTCCTCTACTTTAGAAAAGGAAGGTTTTGTAGATCTGTTGTTTATACAAGTTGGGGGGCCTTCTTTAAGAAAAAGACTACAAAATTTGCATACAAAATGTCAAGGGGGCCATTCAAGTGAGGGTCTCTTTGGTTTAAGCTTCATGGACAATTTGCCTCTGGGGAGGGTGAAAGGCAGTGTAAAAACTAAATAGTACACCAAGTGGCACATGGAATTGGGACAAAGAATACAAACATTTTAAAAGCAGACGATTTCACTGATAACCTACACAAGAGCAAACAAGACTTTCTAGGCAAGCACATCAGCAAAAACAAACTGTATTGTCAGAATCTGTTTATAACATATATTTCTAAAATGCAAAACCCCAAATTCGGCCAGGTGCATTGGCTCACACCTATAACCTATAAATCCAGCACTTTGGGAGGCCAAAGCAGGAGAATCACTTGAGCCCAGGAGTTTGAGACCAGCCTGGGCAATATAGTGAGACTCGCCTCTACAAAAAATAAAAATTAAGTTAAATTGAAATTTTAAAACCCCAAATCTACAGCATGCTACCACAACAAAAGGGCTATTATAAAGGAAAAAAGTCAATTAAAGAACCAAATTATCAGTCAAGTGTGGTGGCTATAGCTGTAATCCCAGCACTTTGAGAGGCCAACGCAGGAGGATTGTTTGAGCCTAGAAGTTTAAGACCAGCCTGGGCAACACAGCAAGACCCCATCTCCACTAAACATTTTTTAAAATTTA